TTTCCTAGGTGCAGCATGTCCTCGTCACATACTAGCTCCAACATAGGCTGTGTACATGCAGAATTAGTTTATAAGATGACTAACATGAGTGTGCCTTGGTCAGTGCCCCCCAATGAAGTGATTACTGCCCCTGCTATCACCCTGGAGACTACCTGTCTGGTATATCCATGCTCCGCAGCTGAAGCAACTAACAACATGCAGGGGAGCACCTATTAGGACCCAGAGCTGAGGGGTGGGGAAGGAGGAGTTCATGAAGCAGGTTCATCCAGACCTTCAAGGGCCTACAGAAAAAGAAAAATTAGGTACAGAACAGAACACGTATTTATCTTGGGCTTCTACTTCAGTTGGACTAGGAAAGTGGTGGACCATGCACATCTGTCCAAACAGCTAATTATCTGGCCCACTGGACTGCTGCATCTAGCGAAATAAGGGATTGTGTCAGGTCTACAACAGCTCTGAGCTCAGACTGGAAGCCTGGAAAGGAAATGGCTGGGCAAAAGCCTGTGTCCTGCAGACATACTGGATAACTCTCTCACTATGAGGACTCCATTGTGCTCTGGCAGGCAAGAAGATCTCTCTCAGCCATGCTGCCACTGGAGCCCTAGCTTCTGACTCAACACCGGTGACAGGTCCCTAGATAATCCCCCCAGACTGCACCCATAGCGCAGCATGTTTTCAGGCATGAGCACAAATCTTTCCGCTCTAGAATCCAGCCCTATTGGAGGAACTTCCCCTACATCCAAAATGTCAATCTCCAGACTATCAGCCAATAATCAGGCAAGGAAACGAATAATTTAGCACAGTGACACTGGTGCAAAACCAAGGGTTAGGCAGGACCTGGTGAATTCTGCCAGATAGGTTTATACAGTATTTAAATCTGTCAATGAAAACCCCCAGAGGAATAATGATAGTATCAATTCAGAAAAGCCAAGCTGTGCAGCAGAGCATGGTAGATTTATTGCACAAAGAAATGACACTGAGTGGAAGCAAACACTATATAAAAGACCAGGCGAGACTGGGTCTTAAAAAGAATCCCAGAATAGGCAGGCAGTGGCTTAGTGTATATAGTAACACATTACGCAGTGGAAGGAAATGCCAAACTCATTGGACAATAACTCCCCAAGTAACCTGGTTTGGGATGTCAGCTGCAACAGGACCAGGATTAGCCAGTGAGAGCTAGCTCCAACTTGTTTCATCATTTCAGCTCTCTGTTCACACAGGTGCAGGTCTGCTACACACACCCCAAGCCCGACAGCCCAATAGCAATTATGCCTGGGCTTGGTGATCTTGTGTAGATGCCACACAGACAGCATTAACAACACAGACAGCTGACACCTTCCTGCCCCAAGCGAGTGCTGGCACTGGGAGCCCTTAGGCCTGGCCTAGTCTTAATTCCACACTTTAGGGCAGCTTCAGACAGCTACTGCAGTGCATCCAGTTGGGATGGATAAGTGAAGCTATGCCCCCAAACCTTGAGATTTTTCTCCAAAATACCTTGCAGGCCCCAAGGCCCAGCATGGACAATGTTCAGTGATGAACTGGGGGGAGGACCCAGGTTTAAGAGGCAGTGTGGATTTCTGGCATTATGCTGGGACATAAGCCATTCTTTTTGCCACTGGCTGGTTGCGTGACTTGCAAGTCCATATTCTTCTTTTCTTCTTCCCATCCTTTCCCTGTCCTCCCTATTCAGATATGAGCTGTTTGGGGCAGATGCTACCTCTGACTGCATGCCTCTGCAGTGTCTAGCAGCCTGGGGCACTGATCTTATCAGAAGCACTTAGACGTTACTCTACTACAAATGATATGTCTCAAGGGCAAAGGAAGTAAGCAGTACTCGCTTTTAACCTCAGAGTAAACTGAGCTACCTGACATTAAAACAGTGATCTGAGTCTGTATTTTACATCAGTCTCAGAGGGGAGTTCAAATTTTATTGATTTTAATTTCTTCCTGAATCAAAGCCATCAGCTCTTATAATAATGAGGGTTTTTTCTTAAAGCCCCAGTGCTTGGAGTCATGTGATTATGTAAAAGTCTCTGCTTTCATGAAATCAATTAAGTTCTGAATCCCTCTGACTTTGTAGAAAGGTATGAAAGTGTGACCTGAGTGTGACCTACTGATTTGGAAACGTAAAGAAGAACATATATTTTTAAAAGTCATTATGTTTTAAGTCAGTCTCCTGATTTTTCAGGCTTGACTCATGAGATTTGGAAGTCAGGGGTTAGCAAGTCTGCTGCTCAAATTTGAAATAAAGGTGCATGCTTTTATTGGGGAAGGTAACTGGCCCCTGAAATGACTTCCCAGGGGAGGAATGGATTATCTGTCTCATACAGCCCCCAGGAGAGAAGACCTTGTTGAAAAATGTGCTTTGACCTGATAAGATCTGGCCCAGCACAGAGGTAACTTAGTAAAGCAGTTACCGTCATTACCGTCATACAGAAAAGAGGTCAGCCAGGATCACCTCCCGATTCCTCTGGCCTGAAAATGCACCTGTATGATGGGAAATCAGCAGCTGGTCTTCCTGTGGGAGGGACAGGAGCTCTAATTGCTATTCTGGATACACTCATCACATCTCCCTGAAGCCACTTCAGGAGCTGTGCCATGTCCACAGCAATGCACAGGGAACAACACATGGAGCTGGACTGGGCTCCTGCCTGCAGAACTCACCACTAACTTCTCTGCGCTGCAGTAACTCAGATGCATCACACTGGTGCTGTGAGAAGCCATAAGCTTCACCTCCATCTCATGCTCCCATATTCACCCAAGGACTTTCCACCCCAGACAGCAAAAATCCAAACACTTTCTTGGCTGTGCTTCTGCACAACTTAGAGAAGTGCAACACCTTCTTCCCTGTGTATCACTGGGGGCAGCTATCTAGTTGCTGCAATCCCCCTTCCCACACAAATGAGTGAGGACATGACTCCCCAAGGCCCAGCACACAGCCTGCACAGCTGTCAAACTGCAGTTCAACCAGCACAAAGAAGCAGTAACCTGCACCCAGTGAAGGGCTTCGGCAGGTCACCACCCTAGCAGCAAGGCAAAACCAAGGACATGGACAACACTGGACTGTTCTTTGCTCCAACTAGCAGTAAAGCTGAAATGAGCCCCTAGCAACTCTGTTAACATGGTCCTGTGGGGTGCTCTACTCCAACAGCCCTCATCTGTAAAAGCAAAGGATTGCTTCAAATGCCAATGCCATCTGGAGTTTGCATTCCACCTCTTTTAACATTTCTTCGGCCTCATAAAGGTCTCCCAGTCCCAGTTGAAATAACAAGTTTATTATTAGTGGTAGCATTATTTATTGGTCCCACAGTTGTACCCAAGAGCTCCAGACATGGACCATTGTGCTAGGTGCTGTAGAAAGAAAGGATGACAGAACCGCCTTGCTACCTCTCACTCTGCAGAGCTAAGGGGAGCAGCACTGCATGCGTCCAGGCCAGCAAAACTCAGCAGTTCTGACTGCCAGGGCAGACATCTTCCTCTTGTTGGGTTTTTTTTCCAGGTTTTTTTTTTTTTTGAACTAAAAGCATATTCAAGTTGTGGATCAAAATGAAGCCCAGAGCCATGTTCAGAGCAAATGCTTGTCAAATGGACTTTCTGCTGCAGTAAATTCTTACCAGTCAAGTCTATCAGTTCAATGCTGACATTGGAATAAATAATAAATGCAGGAGCTAACAGCAAAGTGTGAGAATTGCTCTCTTTGGAACAGTAAATCCTGTCAAGTGGATGGACACAGCTCTCGCCAGTAATATCTGGGGGCCAGAACGGTGATCCCAGAGAAGCCTGTAATCTTTATCCTAATCAGACAGTGTGGGAACAGCTGATAAGTAGGAAATATCTGGTAGTTCACAGAGGAAAGCATGAATTGATTGGTAGGAAAATGGCTATTTTGCTGCTAACCAATATAAATAGAAATTTTCATTTTCTACCCTACCTTTCTCTGCAGGTTTGCATGATTTCACCTACACCAGGAAATGCTCATTTACTGGAGTGCCCCGAGACCAAGAGGGAGCAGTTGAACTTAGTGAAGAAGCTGAGAGCTCCATAGTGGGAGCACACGCTCCCCAGTCAAAGTGGTGGGCTGAAGCCCAGGTGAACGAACTCCCCTGACTCATTCCAGTGCCCAGACCTGGCTACTCCAGGAAGCAGGATGGGTAATGCCGAACAAACCCTGCCCCTCACATGGGGAACATGCGTCCCTCCAGGCCTGCACAAGCAGGTCCAGTGTGGTGATGGCAGGCTGGCAAGTACTTCCCCAACACAGCTGCAGCCAAACCAGTGCACCTCAGGCATGAGCAACCACACTCCTCTGCTGTTCCAGTCCTGGACCCTCTGGCTCACTTCTACAGCTTTACCAAAGATTATTGCACACTCCCTCGCCGTCCAGTCATGGGATCCAACACACTTAGGCTGACTGTTGTCTTGAGCCACAGCCCCACAGCTATCCCAGGCCTAGATTCTCCCCCCACCCTGCACCAGCTCTGCTAATGGTCTTCAATCCAACCCACAGCTCGAACTGCTATTCCAACTCTGGCCTCCACATGCAGCTCCACCTCCATCCCAACCATTGGCCCCCCTGCTGTCACGAGCTCAGATTTCCAGGCACAGCCCAGCTTGTGAACCTTTAGATCAGCTATTCTCATAATTCCAGTCCCAGGTCACGGCTTTGGCAGGTTTCACGGTGCTTTTGCACTTCAAATGAAAAAACTGTGACAGATCATTAGTGGGGTAGATCTGAACCTGGGCATCTGGGAATAAGGTACTGTAATACAACTTAATCCTATTCAATCATTTTGACAAACAGCCCCATCTTATTCAGTAAGACACCTGGCCTGACCAGGACTCACTTGACACTCTGCAAGACTCCCAGGACAGCAAGAGCCCTAGAGCTGTGCAGGGATCAGATGATGGAGTAAGAAGAGAGAAGAGGGATTCAGACAGGGAGGTTTTTTATTGGACAAAGGAAACTGTGCAGAGCACAGAGGGGCACTATGTTCACATACCTGGTCTGGCGCAGGGGGATGGGTAATGACACACACAGGAAGGGATCAAAGGTGTTGCTCTGCTTCAGACAGTGAGGACAAGTCAAGGAGGACCTAAAATGAAACAAGAAACCATGGTCAGAATAAACATGGACAGATACAAGCCAGGCACCATAGAGGAGGAAATGCTAAAGGGATTGATATGCTTCTGCCCTGCTAAGGCCTGTGATCCTATGCCAGTGGGCTGAATCATGGAGGTCAGTATTAGAGAACACCGTCGTTTTTAACTCACCCCATTTCTGTCCCTGCAGGCACCCAGCAATGCACAATACATTGTGCTCTCCATCCCAGTTTGGATAGAAAAGACCTAAGCCATTCAGTTTTCAGCCCTTCCCTAGTGCACAAAGTCACCTTTTAAGGAGTACTTCCTGATATTCAGCTGGTGACTGCTGGTTTCACTCCATGGTTTCAACAGCTCTCTCCCCATCTGCTCCCATGAACATCCATTATCAGTCCAGCCTGCAGGTGACATGAATGCAGTTCAGCTGGAGAGTCTTGCCAAACAGCAGGTTTGCTCCCTTTAACTTCTGCTTCCTACCAATCTTCTACCAAATTCCAGAGCTAATTCTCCTTGCAGGCTTGAGAGAGGCACAAATAAAAATAAACCTGGGTTTTCAATTGCTTCTTTCGCATCCTAATCCAGCCCCAAGCCAGCCTGCCACCTATGCCACTGGGGCACCACCTGCAGCAGCAGGATGACAGACTGCAAATGCCCTCTCTGGGCACATGGCACCCCAGCTTCAACAGACCTGAGAAGGAAGACTGTCATGGTCATTTGACTCAAGCAAAGCTACCCAATGTAGATAACAGGCATCACTGCTTGCAACTCCAAAAGGAACACTAGATCATTAGCAGGTCATAGTATCATAGTAGCTAGGGTCAGGAGGAACCTGAACAGACCATCTAGCCTGACCCCCTGCCACAGGCAGCAATGAATGCTGGGGTCACAAATGCCCAAGATAGAGACGAGGACCACTTCCCTGGGAAGCTGGTTCCAGATTTTGGCCACCCTAACTGTAAAATATTGCCTTCTGATTTCCAACCTAAACCTATTCTCCATCAGCTTATGACCATTGTTCCTCATCACCCCAGGTGGTGCTGGGGAGAAAAGGGCTCTGCCTATTTGCTGTTGATCTCCCCTGATGAGTTTGTAGGCAGCCACCAGGTCCCCCCTCAGCCTCCTCTTGCTGAGGCTGAACAGGTTCAGGTCCTTCAGTCTCTCCTCGTAGGGCCTGTCCTGCTGCCCTCTCACCAAGCGCGTGGCCCTCCTCTGAACCCTCTCCAGGCTGGCCACATCCCTTTTGAAGTGCGGCGCCCAGTACTGGACGCAGTACTCCAACTGCGGTCTGACCAAAGTCGCATGGAGGGGGAGTATCACCTCTCTGGACTGGCTTGAGATGCACCTTTGGATGCATGACAAGGTACGGCTCGCCTTGCTGGCTGTGGTCTGGCATTGGCGGCTCATGTTCATCTTGGAGTCAATAATGACTGCAAGATCCCTTTCCACCTCTGTGCTTTCAAGAAGGTCAACAGTGTTAGCTTTGCTACTGGGTTAGGAGCAGCGCTGGTGAGAGAGTCAGATCTTGGTTGCTGCAAGGATCACGATGGGGGAGTAGACAAAACTGACATCCCATGGCTAGAGTGAACAAAGCTGTGAGAGAAGACAAGGTCAATGTCCATCCATGTGTTAACCAAATGAAGGCAGCAGATGAAAACTGAGCAGCTTTCATGTCTCTGCCAGGCTATAAACAGCCAGATCATTTCCCTATGTGCCACCCACGTCTGCAGCACAGCATACTGAATTTGACAGTTTGTGGCTGCCAGCTATACTCAGGGTGCGTGGATTTATGATCAGGCAGCAAGAGGAGGGATCCTGATAAGAAACATCACAACAGAGCAAATCCACTGTTGCCTGCCTGGGGGCCTTTTGGTGAGCTGCAATGGCACAGTGATGCATCTTGCCATGCTTCTTCTTTCGTATGACATTTTAGGATTACAACATTCATAGATTAATATCTAAATTTAATAACCATTTGACTGCTTCAGGATGGAGTGATTTTAGACTGCCATTAAGTGATCTAATTGGGCATTGTTCACAATGTGTTGCACCTTCTGAAAATCATACCACAATTGCAACCTGGACTCCCTTTGATTCTCTGTTTATGGAGCAGGAGTCCACATTTTCCATGAAATGTCCAGATGTGATTCAGAGAGGACCATATCATTCTCAGTAGGTCATATCATGGCTGGGGGATTGTAGGGTCACTGAAAATGTATTTCTGCGGCAAGTTAGTATTTGCCCAGGCTTCCCTCTATAGTTCTTTGGTGCTCTTGTCATCGTCATAGAGCTTTGTGGCATATTTCCAGAAGGTTTTTCTAGATTTGAGCCTATCCAGTGGTGGTGTAGTAATGTCCTTATTGATTGGGATGTTTAGGTTACCGATCGCTTTATGGTATTCCCTCATACGTGCAGAATCACGGCGGAGCTGTGGGGAAGCAATGTTCACTAAGACTGGAAGCCATGGCAATGGTGTACTTTTTAACATTCCTGATATAATCCAAGTAGCTGCATTTAACTGTGTATCAACAATTTTTGTGTGCACGCTTTTATTCCAGACAGGGGAGTAATGTTCTGTTGCAGAGAAAACAAGTGCTAGAGTGGGGAAGAAGATGACAACCTTCTCGTGGTCTTCCCTGTTACGTGCTAAAGCACAACCAATGTCATCAACTCTATGATCAAATGCCCATTAAGGGCCTCCTGATTGGGATTACAATGCCAAAGACCTCATCAGGCTGTAACATAGCCAGTAGAGAGATACATTTTCCATTTACCTATTGCTTCCCTTTCTCCCCTACCACTTGGGTGCTAAAACAGTTACATGCCCACACTCAGCCTAGTGTGTGCCCCCTTTCATCACGCAGCAGGAAACAGCAGCAGAGATGTTAACTGCGAGTACAGTGTCATCCCTGTCTCACTGACAGTGCCATAAAGGGGTCACAACCTGCCCTGAAGTCAGAGACAAAAGTATCAGGCCAACACTGTCTTTCTTGTCAAAGTTCAAAGTAGCAAAGATCTGTGTCAGTGCGTACTACTGTTTGCCTTTATCTTTTCCATTTGATCACTGCACTGAGTTCAGCCTGGCTCCACATGGCTACCAGTAGCACACAGGTTCACTAGAGATGAGAGAAAAGCTGGGACCATGAGATGTGCAGCAGAAGTCACCTCTTGCTGCCTGACCAAGCTCTAGTCTTCAATTCTCATTTTAAAAAGAAGCATCTAGTTCTCACATTTCTGAAACATATTTTGGGATCTACTCACTCAACACAGCACAGTGCAGTGGCATTCTCCCAAGTGACACAACAGGACTTAGAGACAAATGTCCTGTTTGTCCCAATGGGTCATTAACTCTGGAGGCTAACGATGTCAGTGTTAACTCTTTTGCTTTGGATCTTTTGCTTTGCTATATACCATGTATAAGTTTAATGTGTAATCTCAAACTGTGTCTCAAACCTATTCAGGGGCCTCACCCGCCTTCAAACCATCTACTAACCCTGCCAGCTCTTCATACAATTTCTCTGACAAAACTATACGATGCCAGTGCAAAGTCCACTGTGCACATCAAATGTGAAAACTGTACAAAATAAACTGAATTTTATACAGAAGAAAAGCTCCCGAGACTGGCACAGCGCCTTTAGTATTCACTATCCGATTTCTTTCATCAGAAACCTACATAACCTGATTATAGACAAAGCTGCTGCAGTAAAGGCATGGGGTTGAGGCTCAGCAAGCCACAGAGCACGTGGGGGTTTAAACATGGTCATGGAGGTCAAAATCACATCAGATCTGATGAACTGCTGGGAGTCAAAAGCAGTGAGGAGTATGTTTTCTGAAGTTCAGTGCACCCCTTTGGGCCTGCTGAATTTTCAGGATTGCTGAAAGAGCGTCTTGCTGGGGCTCCCTGAGCAGGGACAGGTATATACAAGCGTTCAGGACCCAATGTACCAAGTGCTGGAGACTGGCCCTTAACTACTCTTCTGCAGTCACCTGTTCTCCCACCACTGGGTCTCTCACAGGCAGGGACCACTGATGCTTAATATTCCACTCCTCTTGCTCTCGCTCATTTATCTGACTTCAGGCACAAGCCAGAGATCAGCTAGGGATGTTCCAGGCCTTTGGCTAAAGGGTCAATTCACAGCCAGCTCCCCTTGACAAGCCCCCAGCAATACCATTCTGGCAGGGAGCGCAGGTGCTGAGTATTTGCACAGACTTGACCCAAACCCATCTATCTTTGCACTGCCATATGGCTGTAGGTATGGATAGCAGGGAAATCAGGCAGTCAGTGTTTCCAGGGGAACAAGCTATACTGGGCAAAAGCAGCTCTAACTGTAACCACCCCAGGGCTTGCAGTGGTGCACTTGACACAGATATCATGCACTAGCCAAAGCACAGGAAGAGTGGGTCAGCTCCAAGCTGTCTGTTGGGCCAGATACATTGGAGACCCCAGTAAAAAAAAAATCAGTAAGTTGCTAACACAGTGACATCTGGAACATAGCATAGGAAAGATGCATGCAGGCATGCCTGATTGTGATGGTGTACACACAGGTCCTGGGGTGCCCAGGAAGGACCTGAAGTAGGTGTGCTAGGGGTTGCATGCAATTGAGAGCCAGCGTGCTTGTTAGTGCAGCTCCCCTGAGTTGGCGTGGGAGTGGGTCTCCGCTGTGCCAACTGGCTCTGCATGCTAATAGGAATCACTCTGATCTTATACACACCTGCCCAGCAAACACACAAGTTGCAGACTGGTGTCCTGGGCCTCCCCAGCCCACAGAGAATTTCACCTGGAGAACCCCTCTCCTTTTCTGGTATCAGCTGCATTTAGCCCTTCCTCGCCCCTTCATTTTCCCCTTTTTTCACAATGAAGATGGACTGCTTCACAAGCTGGACAGTGATCTGAGCCTGAACAATCTTCCCTATGGATTGACTCTCTGCCGCTTGGGTTTGCTCAAATGAGAGCATGAATTGGGGTCCTGGTGTAGAAGTCTCTAGATATTGATCA